GACCATGTTGGAGGAAACAATTTAATCCATAACTGCTGATCTTTAGCTGTGGGAGCTGGAATAAGTCACTTGCTAAGTAGGGGTGGACAGCTTGTGTGGATGGCATTGGAAGAACATTGGCACTGGGGAGCTAGTTCATGGTTTCTTAAACTCATTCTCCCTCAAGGGCCCTTTCTTGCCACAGGATTTCTGGATTAATTGCTGTGAGTTCCTGTAAGAGGAGGCATGAGAGGCAGACTATCTGATCCTGACACCCCAGCTTAAACAGCTGGGTCCCTAAACTAAACTGGGCATGGACAATGTGACTTGAGTTTTCTTTTCTTTTCATCATTCTGAACAGTGAGCACCAAGGACCTTGACATTCCTCCTGTCTTCTCAGAGTTTCAGGGACCTGGACTCTGCTCATTTTGTTCCTCACAGACAGCTTGTCCTAGCAGTGTATAAAAGAAGTGTTGCAAAACACCAGTATATCCAATGCAAAAGACAAACCAGCCAGGTGGCATTCTCTGCCTGTGGTTTCTGAGTGTGGACTTAATGGCTGACACACCTTCTGCCAGGGGAGTTGACAGGTTATTCCTTTAGAAGAATGTAGCTGTGTTCTAGTGTAGAGACCCCAGCTGTTGGTGGCCAAGCTACAACAGTAAATGTCTTTGCCACTGTTTGGAGATGGAATGACAGAGTCAGGCATTTCTTTCTTTCTTTTTTTATTTAGTAAATATAAATTTCCAAAGTACAGTTTATGGATTACAATGGCTTCACGCCCCCCCCCCCAATAATTTCCCTCCCACTCGCACCCCTCCCATCTCCCGCTCCCTCTCCCCTTCCATTCACATCAAGATTCATTTTCGATTCTCTTTATATACAGAAGATCAATTCAGTATATATTAAGTAAATATTTCATCAGTTTGCACCCACACAGAAACACAAAGTGTAAAATACTGTTTCAGTACTAGTTATAGCATTACTTCACATTGGACACCACATTAAGGACAGATCCCACATGAGAAGTAAGTACACAGTGACTCCTGTTGTTGACCTAACAATTTGACACTCTTGTTTATGGCGTCAGTAATCTCCCTAGGCTCTAGTCATGAGTTGCCAAGGCTATGGAAGCCTTTTGAGTTCGAGAGTCAGGCATTTCTTAACTTTTATATCTCTGAAATAGACAACAAATGCAACCTCTCTCCTGGGATATAAAGAAGGGAATAAAGAAGTTATTTAATGGATCCTGCTAATTAAAAAGTATTTATTTTTATTTGAAAGGGGAAGAGAAAGAGAGAGAGAGAGAAAGAGAGAGAGAGAAATATCGTCTATCTGCTGATTCATTCCCTAAATGTCCACAGAGGCTGGAATTGGGCCAGGAAAAGCCAGGAGCCTGGAACTCATTCTGAGTCTCTCACATGGGTGGCTGGGACTTAAATACTTGAGGATATGTGTGTTAACAGGAAGCTGGAATTGGAAATGAAGCGAGGACTTGAACCCAGGCATTCTGATGTGGGATGCAGGCATCTCAAGCAGCACCTTACTGCTGTGCCAAATGCTTGCCCTATGCTATTTTTAACTAATGTAATATTTTGAGAAGATTTACAGCTCTGATATTGGTTCAGAAATAAAATGCATAGGACCAGCACAGAAGTAGGGAAATCTTGATCTGCCTCCCTCCACTTGGTGAGCAGGTAAGCTGAGTGATGAATCAATGGAGAATGATTCATCTATGTGTGTTGGCCACTGGGAACACATACCTAATGTTGACCAGATATTCCTGTTTTTTTTTTTTTTTTAAGTAGAGATTTTGTATGATATTCCCTAAATTTTAAGAGTTGTGGAGGCATTAGAATTATTTTTTCAAATGTGTCAGACAAAGCACATGTGTGGGAGCCAGAGCATGTAGTAGGCTAAGCCTCCACCTGCGTTGCCGGCTCCCACATGCATGCTGGTTTGTGTCCTGGCTGCTCCTCTTCCAATCCAGCTCTCTGCTATGGCCTGGGAAAGAAGTGGAAGATGGCTCAAGTCCTTGGGCCCCTGCACCTGTGTGGGAGACCTGAAAGAAGCTCCAGGCAGCTGGCATTGGATCAGCCCAGCTCTGGCTGTTGCGGCCATTTGGGGAGTGAATAAATGGATGGAAGACCTTTATGTCTGTCTGTCTGTCTCTCTCTCTGTAACTCTACCTCTAAAATAAATTTAAAAAAAAGCACACATGTAATTAAATGTGACTCAGGGGCTGCTAGTCTGTAATCTGTGTTAGAAGGGTCACACAGTACCAAATCTTCACAGGACCACCTTCAATTCCAGTGCTGACTTTTCAAAGCATATTAGAACCTCTGAGATGATTCAAGCAACCTTGTTATTCAGAACAGAACTCTGTCCTTCCTGTTGCCCCATATGGAAGGGCCAGGTGGTAAATCAGTATTGAGTCTGAGAAAGAGCCAAGTGTTTTCAGAGCCTGACATTCCTGGTCTGGAATCCTCCTTTAGTCATTCAGGAGTTTTGTAATATGGGAGACGTTCCTGAATTCTCTTCTTCTCCCTTGGAACATGAGACTCATAATGCTTGTTGAGGTTTATTGTAAAGTTTATGTGCGTGAGTGGAGGCAAAGTGCCCAGCACACGGTAGAACATCTACAAATGATAGGGTTTTTTTTTTTTTTCGTTCAAATAAAGGGAATCCAGGAATGGGAACAAATGATTGAGATGCAAATCTTAGTTTTCCTTGATTTACTAAGATTATTTGACATTTCAAACAAAACATAATTGAAGTTTCATTCAACTGTATACACTGAATTTGTTTTTCCTGTGAGATTTCAGTTGTTAGATGTGTTTTCATGGGCAAGTCACTCAATGACTCAGTTTTCTTATCAGGATAATGAAGATAATAGTACATTAATATGAGGGTGGTACCTAAAAGGAAACCTGTAGAAGTGAAACGGACACTATGAGAAACAATGACTTGAGCAGCCCTTGTCCTGTCGAGGAACAGCTTACTATTTTATTTCTTTTAGTATTTTCTTGTTCTACTTAATACCATTGGTTGAACTCTTTAATTAACACACCATTATTCTTAGGTGTTTAAATTTAACTGAAAATTGGTCCCTGTTAAAAATAGGAGTGGGAATAAGAGAGGAGGAGCTGTACAGTTCAGCACACACTCACTAGGACTTAACCTAATGGTAGAGCTAGAAACATGCCATGGGATTCCAAATCCCATCAAAGTGGCATGTACCAATGCCATCTTACTAGTCAAAGTGATCAGTTTCAGTTCATAATTGTTCATAAAGATAGAATTAAGTGTCAAAGGGATCACATAAACAAGACCAGTTTCTGCTAATAATAACTGGTAGAATTCAAAAGGAGAGAACGATCCAACATCAGAAGCGGCATACACAGCAGAGTCATAGAATGGCAGATGCCCTAAACAGCACTCTGGTCTCAGAATCAGCCCTTAAGGCATTCAGATCCGGCTAAAAAGCCCATGAGAGTATTTCAAGCATGGACAGCCAAGACACTGTGGCAAAATTAAAAAAGAAAAAAAAAACCTAAATGAAAGGTCTCTGCGAGTAAGATCCCAGTGGAAAGAATGGGCCATCAAAGAAGGAGGTGCCTTTCTCTGAAGGGAGGAGAGAACTTCCACTTTGACTTTTGACTATGGCCTTGTCTAAATAAGGTCAGAGTCTGTGAACTCAAGAGGCTTCCATAGCCTTGGCAGCTCATGACAAGAGCCTAGGGTGATTACTGACGTCATAAATAAGAGTGTCAATTGTTAAATCAACAACGGGAGTCACTGTGCACTTACTCCCCATGTAGGATCTCTGTCCTCAATGTATTGTACTATGCGAATTAACGGTAAAACTAGTACTCAAACAGTACTTTATACTTGGTGTGTCTATGCGGGTGCATACTGTTGAAATCTTTACTTAGTGTATATTAAGTTGATCTCTATATAAAGATAATTAAAATGAATCTTAATGAAGAATGGGATGGGAGATGGGGATGGTTTGCCGGTGGGAGGGAAGTTATGGGGGGAAAACTCATTAATTTATTTATAATAAATAAATTTATTTTATTCAAATAAATGAATCTTTAAAAATGAATTATTTAGGATTTTTATATATTAGATCATGCTACTTATGAATAAAGATAGTTTTATTTCTTCCTTTCTAATATAAATGACTTTCATTTTTCTTGCCTAATTACTCTAGCTGGAATTTCCAGTACAATACTGAATACAAATGGTGAAAGCAGACATCATTGTTTTGCTCCTGATCTTAGGGGAAAAGCTTTTTCAGTCTTTCAGCACTGAATCTATTGTTAGGTGTACACATTTATTTATTTAAAGATTTATTTATTTATTTATTTGAAAGTCAGAATTACACAGAGAGAGAAGGAGAGGCAGAGAGAAAGAGGTCTTCCATCCTCTGGTTCACTCCCCAAATGGCCACAACAGCCGGAGCTGGACCAATCCGAAGCCAGGAGCCAGGAATTGCTTCCTGGTCTCTCACATGGGTGCAGGGGTCCCTTCTACTGCTTTCCCAGGACATAGCAGAGAGCTGGATCAGAAGTGGAGCAGCGGGGTCTCAAACTGGTGCCCATGCAGGATACCGGCACTGCAGGCGGTGGCTTTACCCACTACACCACAGCACCAGCCCCGACATTTATTTACTTTAAAACCTTTTGGATCCTAATTTCAAAATAACAGACCGAAACTGCACAATGTGGAAACCTAAGATACTCCCTGAAAGTCCATCCATCCCCAGAAATGATCGCTATTTATACTTTGAAAGTTGTATAATCAAATATCCTTCTAAATTTTTTTTTCAAAAATATGACTTGGTAAACGTGTAGATTACTAATACAGGCAGGAAAACCTAGTGTTTTATCTGTGATATCTCAGATAATTGGAATTATCTTAGTTACCATTTACCTTGGAACGCAGTATTTTGAAGTGTGTGCTCTTTGGGAATGCGTTTGTTATTTCAACATGTGCTTTTTTGTTTTAAATTACAGCTGGGTTTTGTCCTTTACCCCCTTGGTGGACATCCTTCATGGGATCTGACAGATCATGAAAACGCTCTGTTTCTCACCATGTGCTTTTGTTGGCATTACCTATTAGCCCTCACCATCATTGGAATGAATTATGCTTTTATCACATGGTAAGTTAGTGTTTTTTTGCTGTTGTTGTTCTATTCTTTGGTATATGATCATGAAGATTCAATAGTGTGAAACTTCAAATTAAAAATAAAATTTCATCCTTTATCTCCCATAAGAAAGGGTAACATATCAGAAGATTACCCACAAACCTAGAAATTCCCAGGATAAAGAATATGTGCTAGGTTAAATTTGGAATAGCTCAACAGTGTCTTTGCTGTGCCTGGGACCTATCCATTACCCTTCAGCACACTCCCCTGTGCCTCTACGGCTTTGCCTTTGTCATTTCCTCTTCTGAATGGTTTGCCCAGACACTTGCAGTGAGTCCTCCATTAATCCAGGCATATATATCTCACCTTTTTTTTTAAGGGAAAAGGTTTATTGGGGGAAACCCTTCAGACTGGAGGGAAGGGGTGAAGAAGGAAAAGAGGAAGAAGGAGAGGATAAAAGAGAAATCCAGAGATACTTTGAGAGAGATCAGGAGATGGAAAGTGAGAGAGCCACGTGTTCAGGGACAGGTCCTTTTAAAACTTTGCTGGGGGGCAAGCAGGGAAGTAGAAGCAGCGAATCCCATTAGGATGGGGTTGGAGCTTGACTCCAGTGGTTGTGCCAAGTGGCTACCCAGCTTCCAGCAATGACAGCGGGGGCTAGAGCCCAGGATGATGTCCAGGGTGTAGATTGTACCATAGATAAGGCTGCGCCATTTTCCTAACATTCTCCCCTTTTGTTTTTTTATAAAGCAGGATTTGTATGGGATTACATTAGCCCCAAACGTCCAGGATGGGTAGAGGGACAATGATCTGTCTTTAGAGCTATTTCCTGCTGATGTGGGGCAACGAGGTACTCTTTGCTGGCATGGGGCGGTGTCTCAAGCCGCTGTCTCCTGGGTGGGGAGCCGAGTATGTCCCTGTAGCAGCTTTTGGTTGACCGCCTGGTTGCTGAAGGCCTTGGTTTGTTCCATTATCACCTCCTGTAAATACTTAAACAGACACTGTAGTATAAAAGACAGGTGAGAATAGCAACCAATGATCCTAAGAGTGGCATTAACCAGGTAATGAGAGGATTTCAGAGAGGAAAGGAAATGAGTGGGGTCTCTGGTCTCTTGTGAAGACTGTCGATGGATGTGGTTTAAATCTGATCCCAACCAAGACTGGGAGAAAAGCCACTCATCTTTTGTGGGTAGAATGGGTTTGTCTGTGGAGAAAATTCTGAACAATCATACAACATTAAGTGGGGGAGAGGACTATCAGTACACACAGGTCTGGAGAAGAGCCATTGATGTTAGAGTAGAGGCTATGATTACAAAGGATTGAGGCCCCAAGTAAGCTAGACAGGGTCTAGAACAAAGGACAGAGTCATTACTAGGGGATCTAAGAAAGGTGCTGTCTAAGCCATGACTAAGTTTTCTGATTGAGAGGCAAATAGAAACTGACAGAAGGGGCCTGGTATTAATCTGGTGGGCTTTAAGGCCTTGTCAGTTATGAAGCCCAGACCTACCTATCTCTTCACATGGGGTACATCCTAAGGGGAGGTGTGAACCTCCTTGGGGAAGGCCCCCTGTTGACTTCCATCACCTAGCTGGCCTGGGAGGAGAGCTGGCCAGGTAAAGGCAGGTGGCAACTCTAACAGGAAATTTACAGTTCTGCCTGTGATGTTGCTGACCCTACTTGGCCATCCCCTCAGCCGCGGTGGTCATTTTGGAAACAAGGACGAGTGAAGGGCTTTTCAGCTTGGAGCCAGCAAGGTTGGTGGCTCTGATCTGGGCATCCTTCAACTCCAGGGCATCACCTTTTAAACTTGGGATTTAAAAAAAAATCAACTTGTGTCTGTCCTGTTAAATTCGAGCACCTGACCGATTGACATTGACTCTAGTATTTCTAAAAAAATAAGATTTGGTTGAATAATACAGTTTTTTTTTTAACAAGGATCCTAGTATAACATTTCATAAGCAAGTGAGGAGCCATGTAGCGGCTGCCCTGCTACTTATCAGCTGTCTGACTTAAGGCCGATTACTTAATGGCATTTTAAGTCTTGATTTTGTCTGCAAAATGTGGATAATAATAATGACTAAATGAGACCATGCATTTACATTTCTTAAGACAGAATGCTCAACAAATGTTATTGTCTTGTTCCTTCTACTTTTTGGTATAAAAAAAAAGAATGAACTATAGACTATGCCCATGAAGAATTTTTAGTCCTAGTGTCAGTATTAAATTACAGATACAGACAATTTAAATGTAGGGCAGTAAGTGGAAACAAGTAGAACAAATCATGTTACAGCCCAGAAAAGGCTCCTCACAACAGAAAAATAAGCTGTAGCTTGAAGGATGAACAGGAATAAAAAAGGAGGCTCACAACTTCTCTCTCTAAGGTAGCTGGTGCCAAACCTCGCTTCACTTTGCTGATCCCAGTTCCCAGGCATGAAGGCTGCAGAACCTCATCCTTCAGACTGCAGAACTGATTGGAATATTCTATATTCACAGAATTCTGTATTTACAGTGTTCATATGGCAGCTGCTAGCTAGAGAGCACCTGAAGTATGGTTGGTGCCATGTTAATTTTAAGTAACTTAAATAGCCATACTCATGTATGCATAGCAGCTGCTGTATTTGATGCTACTCATCTAACACCTTCTCTGGATTCCTAGGATACAGTAGCTGCTTCCAGATCCAGAGAAGTCTCAGCCTGTGCAGGAACCAGATTTCTTGTCTTCTCTCTAGACGTGGGCCCCACCCCACTCATCCTGCTCTCTGCTGCAATGCTGAAGTAGTTTTGCAGCCAGGGCTCTGAGTGAGCAAACTGTTTCCTTGTCTAGGTCCCAGATGTCTGTGTTAGGCTTTGGATAAGCCCACTTTGATCTGCAATTGTCTCCTTCTGTACGTGTGTAAGCGCTTTGAGAGCTGGGAAACTCCACCTTCTCATTGACTGATCTGTTAGTTCTAACCCATCCCCCCAAAGCGTGTGCATGAGCTCACTGTCAAGGCAGGCTCTAACACTGAGTGAACTTGACTTCTTCCCCTGTTGTTCTAGGCTGACATCGGGGCCTCATCTCCTTAGGGGCTGGGCTGCCTCCAAGAAGAGTGCCAGCATTCAAGGAAACACTGTACCTCATGTCAGCTCCCTTCCAGAGCCAAAAGAAGACTATAGTCTCTTCCTGTTTCAAAAAACTTCAGACCCCTAATGAGCCCCTTTACTACTTCCAGTTCTGTAGAAACTGGAAACTCCACTTTGATTTTTCAACCTCTCCCTTTAACCTTCCATGTGTCACCTCATCTTTGTGACCAGGCAGATCCCTTACCTGGTATAGCCGCATGAAATGCATATCTCTTCCAGAAAGTGCTGCAATTCCTCTTGCCCTTGCTCTTCTCCAACAGACATGTGATGTTGACTGTTAGCTCATGTGTGGTAGGCTTATCTGCTAGCTAGTTTGTGCCTCCATGAGAAAAAGACCCTTTTCCTTTTCCCCACACTTCTTGGCACACTGCCTAACATGTATAAGCTGCTCAATAAAGATTTGCTATTTTAATAGATCTGTGTTTCAGAGCTACTTAACTATAGGTTTTGTTTGCATGGAAATCATGTATCATATTCTTCTCAGTTTTGATGTTACCCTCCAAAAGTTAAGATCAAGAGTTCAATTTTCTGACACATTTTGATAGGATTTAAGCAATAGCTTAAACAATAGGAAGATTTAGTACTATCTTACAGTGAGGTCATGTGGCAGGTATAGTCAGGATAAGGAGCCATGAAAATCTGTTGGTCAGGATTTGACTGTGGAATGGTTTGTAACTCATCTCCAAGTGAGGAATTGTCAGAACATTATCTCAGAACTTGTCTGATATAATACAAAGATCACCATGGAAACATAGCTGGGTTATGAGAATATTGCTGCCAGCATCTCTGGAAAATGAAGCTGTACTTCTCAGTTTTCCAGAATAGTGGTTAGAAGATTGCTTTGTCCAGTGCCAGTGCCATGTCTACAGGCTTGATTATAGTAGTTCATGGGTGAGACCTATTTGAAAATCTTACTATGTGTTTTACTGTATCTCACATTTAAACACCACTGTTGCACAGAATTATTTCAAAAGCCCCTCTCTGTGGGTAGGCAAATATTACCCATTTACAGGTAGATTTTCCAAGCAATGACTCTTGTGAGCTATTTTGAAAGTCAAAATAAAGATACCCAAGTTTCAGGCATGTGATTTTTTTTTTTCCTGGAGGTTATACCCATTGGTTCAGCTCTACTCTTTCTCACATTCATTGAAGAGAACACATGAGAGCAAAAGTGCATATACCCTGACCATACTTCCTGGTATTTGCCTCATTCTAGTAAATAGCAATTGTTTGCACTTCCTCTCCATAACCCTATCTCTCAGTCTGCCTCAAGTGGCCATTTCTGCATGTGCACATATTTAGAACTACATATGGCAGACAGAGCCTGGTTAAGATATCTGAGCATGTCTTAGCTTGATGGCTCATAGCAACAGCAGGTACCAGAGAGGAGGAATGGGGAGCATGAGAAATCCCTAGGGTCTCTCTACCTTAGCTATTAATTTGGAATAAGCAGCCATGTCTTTGTTTTATTTTACACCAAAGTCATCTGGAATGAAACTAATTTATTAATTCATCAATTCATTTCATCCTGAATGTGTTGAACTTGTGCAATGTGAAAATAATGTGTGATTTAAAAAAATGACACATTGTTCAGCTTTTAACTTGTTTAAGAGTATTAGCCTTTCCCAAGAACAGTCATTCAAAGAGTTGAGGACTTTGGGAGCAACATCAATATCCAGTTAATAATCAAGGCAATTTCCTTAGGCTCTTGAATCAACAGATGTTATTGGTACTGTTCAGTTGTTTAATGGAGTTAAGGCTGAGTTAAAAGTGGGTTGAAGAATTAGCCTCTATGAATAGGGGATTAGTGTGAACTATTTAGCAGATTGCTCCAAAGGTCACTGATTATCAAATATGTGTGGAATCACTATTATCTACTCCACATGGTACAGACTCCCCTGGGGGTAGGGCCATAACTAAGAGGAAGTCCTTGCTCTTACGAAGCTTATATTCTATTGGTATACAGAGCACAAGTGAAGGCATGGCATATTGATAGGAAGAAGCAGAACTTCATCAGAAGATAAAGGAAGGCAGAAAATAAGGGAGGAAATGCAAATAGCCAGGTGAAATTTTTCATAAAAGGAGAATGAATTTGGTGGTTTGGCTTATGAAGTTTGTTTGCATATTCCTCTGTATTTCTGGAAGCTAACTCTGTTTTATCAGCATGGTCATGGTACAAAGTCTTTATGATGATCACACACAGAAAAAGCTTCACTTAGTTCCTATAACATACTCTTTTTTTTTTTTTTGTCATATCAGAGAAGTGGAGAGCCTGATGTGCTTCCACCACCACAAAGAAACTTCACACTGTTCAGTGCCGAAAATTATAATTGCAGCTTTCTCCAAAACTACAGATTTCGACCTATGAAAACAGTCATATGAGAGGGCAGAGGGCACTTCTCTGGACATTTTAATCCATCATGAGCAGAGCCATCATGTGTGGTTGAGCAGCCTGTGCCTTGCACAAAAGCACAAAAGGGGGCAGGAAGGGGCGGAGGTTGAACCAGACCTGACATAGGCAGGGCTTGACTTAGGCTGCCAAACCCAGGCAAGGCGACTGCTTCCTGCACTTCGTTTATAGAAGAGGGCAGCTTTTTGCCATGCGCTGCTGGGGGGATTTCATGGAGAAATTCAACAGATTTTTATTCCATTTGTATTTGTCCCAGCTCAGAGATTCCCTTGTTTGTTTTAGAAACAATTAAAGTTATCTTCTGATGTTTCATGAAACAATCATGTCACAGATTCCAAAGCCATGCTTTGTCTGTTCATCTAATAAAACGATTTTTCAGGTAGCTCCAAAGCCAGATGAAAAAAAGTGGTTTTCATTTTTGGATTGCCTCTCTGTTTGCACAACTCATCCAGTGTTTGTTGCATTATGGATGCATATTGCCCTGAATTTCTCTTTTCAACATCATCTAATCAGAGACGCTCTCCTTTCTCCTCAGGTTTGTTAAATCCAGGCTTAAGAGGCTCTGTCCCTCGGAAGTTGGACTCCTGAAAAATGTTGAACGAGAACAAGAATCAGAAGAAGAGATGTGATTTGGGCGGACACCCAGTCTTTCTAGATAAACCTTCTCTTTTTTTCCATTGGCTTTGTTCATGGTTTTGTTTCTTTTCCTTTAGTTTGGAGAATAGCCACTGAGGATGGCTCTCAGTGTACTATTTGCAGTTCCAACTTTGTTAAAAGCATTTAATTTAAGTGTTTCATTTTAGCTTTGAAAATACTTTGGGTGATAAGTTCATTTTGCACATCATGTACAACGTGGTCTTTACAGGCTAGGGTGATGTTTCCCATGCCATCTAAAGTCTGGTGCCCATACTAAGAGAAATAATTGTTTAATTTACCTTATATGAATGTTCAAGGTTCTTGGGATTCCTACCATTTGTAACTTGTTGGGCATGGGATTATACGTGTTTATCTTGTTGCTGCAATGAGAAATAAACAAATGCATGCACCATGGTGCAGGAACCTCAAATCTTTTATTTTTAAACCACATCCACGATGCAGAAGAAGCTGCCTGACGCAGAGATTTCTTTTGGTGAGACCTCCCTCTGGAGTGGCTGCTTTCCCCTCTGGGAAAATAGGGCAGAAGTCCTCCTGAGGTTTCTGATCTTTCGGAGAAGATACAAGGGATCATCCCCAGGACACGTGGTTGCAAAGCCACCAGAGTCTGAGAGAGGAGAGTGGTGGTGTTATTTATGTAGCAAAAAGGTCATCCAGTAGCATAGCATGACCACTATGCCAGGCCCTCTTCGAAACAGGTGAAGGATTTGAGTAAGACAAAGCCTTGTATGAAATACCTGTGGGCTAGGTTGCCCACTGGAGAGTCAAGGAATCTTTTTAATTCTCCCTCTACATTAACTAGTCTCTGGGTCTCTAGTACTCACCATGCTTTCTTTGTAAAGTAAGAGAACTGAACTGGATGAATCATGGGCCCCGTTTTGGCTCCGTGTTGTTATGAATCTAGTACTAATTTAGTCCCATGTTAGTCAGAAAGGCCTGTCTCTGGCACCACAGAACAGGGAAGAGGAACTGTGGGAATCCTGGAGGGGTGGCCCAGATGTGGAGGAGAGAAGGCAGTCCTGTGGGCAGCTGGAACCTAAGCATGGGCAATTGGATCCTGAAGACCCCCTGGCATAACAGAAGCCCTGCCAATCCAGAGGTAGCTCAGTCTGGTATGTATCCCCTAACAGTGGAGATGGAGGGTGAGTGAATTGTTCAGGCCCAACAACTGGCGCAGTCGTTTTATTATGTAAGGTTTGAAAAGAACAGATGTGGATGCCCGCAGGTTTAACGAAATGCACTTTCAGTGCCTCTCTGGGACGTGAGCATGTCCTCATGGCCCAGTCCCTCAGGGAGCATGCCATTCGGTCCCAGGTGTGGCCTGTATCTCAGGGCTCCTTGCTAGTTCTGCAAGATTCTATGACTCTGGCAAAGTTGAGTTTCAAGGGAGAGAGCAAGTGTCAGTTGCAGTTACCTGAAACTGGCGTGATTGGTATTGAGGGGGGCTGTTGGGATAATTAGCATGCGCCAGATTGGAATTTTGAACACGGATAAACGGATAAATGCATCTGTTCTCCTAATCTCCCCGAGAGAGCAGAAATATCCACAGAGAATACCTGTCAGTTGCAACCCAGTGAGTTCTCAGAGGAGGAACATTCAGTTCAGGTCTAAATCCTCAGTCTGGGGCCATGTGCCTTTAGTCCTTGAAATGTCATGAATTTGAACACCATTATTGTAAATTGGCGGTGATGTATTTTACAACTACCATCTTTGTGGAATGACGCAAAAATTAGTAAAGCTGCAAGCCTGAACCAGAGTGGAATAGTCTGTTATTTTCTTCGCATTGTGCTATTTCTAGGTCCGTAAGAAGAATTTGTAAAGGCTTTGATTTAAAATGGATCATGGGGGCCAGCACTCTGGCATAGTGGATAAAACTGCCACCTGTGACACAGGCATCCCATTATGGGCAGGGGTTTCGAGTCCCAGCTACTCTACTTCTGATCCAGCTCCCTGATAATGTGCCTGGGAAAACAGTGGAAGATAGCCTAAGTCCTTGGGCCCCTGCACCCATTGGGAGACCCAGAGGAAGCTCCTGGTTCCTGGCTTCAGCCTAGCCCAGCCTCAGCCATTGTGGCCATTTGGGGAATGGACCAGTGGCTGGAAGATATCTCTCCCTCTACTTCTCCCTCTCTTTCTCTCTCTCTCTCTCTAACTCCACCTTTCAAATAAATATAAATCTTTAGAAAAATGAATTGTGAGGGCTGGTGCTGTGGCGTAGCAGGTAAATCTGCTGTCTGCAGTGATATATGGGTGCCAGTTTGAGTCCCTGCTGCTCCACTTCTAATCCAGCTCTTTGCTATGGCCTGGGAAAGGAGTAGAAGATGACCCAAGTGCTTGGGCCCCTGCACCCACATGGGAGACCCAGAAGAAGCTCCAGGCTCCTGGTTTCAGATTGGCACACCTCTGGTCATTGCAGCCATTTAGGAAGTGAACCAGCAGGTGGAAGACCTCTCTCTCTGCTTCTGCCCCTCTGTAACTCTTTCAAATAAAAAAGAAAAAAAGAGAAATGAATCATATTTCAGTCCATTTTTTGAAACTATGAATCGTACTTTAAAACAAAGTATAAAAAGTTTTCAACTCCAGGTCATGAGATGAGGAAAATTAATTCTATCCTGTGGTTATCCACCCGTGGGTGCCAATGGAATCACCCATTCAGTAGATTTTATTATGACATCACCAGGTTGCCAAGCAGTGTGAGATGAATTAGGAGTACAACGGTACTCAAGCCAGAGTTGCTGTCCTCATCTGACAGTCAAAAATCAGGTATCGCGAGCGCCTGCGCTGCGTGTTCCAGGGCTTCTCCATTGCTGCCTGAAGCACAGGGGGCTCGAGGAAGGAAGTGCTGCCATATTCCAGTGCCCAGCTCACAGCTCTGAGCCACCGCAGCTCTGGTGGCTCTAACTTCAAAGGTGAAACAGAATTTAGCAACTTTATTGTTTGACTCGAAGATCCAAAAATGAGACACTGCAAGAGTGAAGACGGGTCATCGAAGACAGCAACGTCAGTGATTGCCTTATGTTCTTGCAAAAATATCTTAGAGGTGTTAACCAGCCTTTTAAGATTCAAGATTGACAAGAAACAGTTGATGGGCTTCTTGCGTTAGCTGTTAAACTTAAATATGGGGCTGCTGCTGAAACATACAAGGACACGGGCTGGGGAGAGTTGGAAGATGAACATTTTCAGATAACGGCTTCTCCACTACTTAGTGCATTTGGGAAATGCATACACCAGATATGCTTCTGGTGTGTGTTGGAAATCAAATGTCACACTTTCAAGGGAAGAATCCTAGAAAACTGATTTACGTTCTAGAGATTTATTGCCACTGCTTGTTTCTTTAATAAAGTTTGGGAAGTGGAAAGTTAAAAAAAATAAAAAGAAGATCTGTGATTTGAGGCAATAAGTGATGTGAAGAAACCAAAGCTAGGGTGGGGACAAGGAATGGTGAGTCAAGTGAGTGCCTCTTCCTCCAGGGTGACCCCTTTCTTGATTATCAGTGTAGGAAGGACTGAGGGACATTTCATGAAGCAGACAAAACCCCGTGACTGCATGCACATGACAGTGAGGACGGACTGATTATTAAGCAATATCAACCTCAGTGGTTGATGTTTCACCAGCGTCTCAGGGGTTTCTGTAACCTCCCATCTCCTTTGTTTGGGAAACTGCTCATTGTTGAAATGGGAGGCTGAGTTGTGACCATATCAGAATACTCCTTCTCACTATTTCATCACCAATAGAAGCTCATCAGTTAAGGCCATGCTGATTGTATCTTGAACTTGGATTAATATGGGGAAATAGAGTTACTAGTGCTATGGGCAAGAATAATACAAGCAGAGAAGTGAGAAATTCTCAGTGCATACAAGGAAATGATGAAAGAAATGTTGAAATACATGGTGAATAGATGTGGAAATTCTCGAATGTGCATCCCAGATGGAGAAAATTGAGAGAACAGAGGATATATGTGAAATAATATAAAGAATTTCCCCTAAATGAATGGCAATGAAGGGAGATTTTGACTTTAACCTTGGAAGGGTGCATTCTTTTTTTAAAAAACAATAATTAATTTATTTTTTAAGGAATATAAATTTCACAAGTACAACTTTAGGAATATAGTTATTCTTCCTACCATACCTGCCCTCCCACCCACACTCCTACCCCTCCACCTCCTCCCTCTCCCCTTCCAAGTCCCACTCTCCCTTAAGATTCATTCTCAATTACCTTTGTACACAAAAGACCAACTCTATACTAGGTAAAGATTTCAACAATTTGGCACACATGCACACACACAAAAAAACTGAGAACTAATTTTACAGTTAACTCTCATAATACAACTCACTGAGGACAGAGGTCCTATATGGGGAGTTAGTGCACAGTGACTCCTGTTGTTAATTTAACAATTAACATTCTAATGTATGACATCAGTGACCACCCAAGGCTCTTGACATGAGCTGCCTAGGCGATAGGAGCCTTTTGAATCCACAAACTCCATCAGTGCTTAGACAGGGCCATAAGCAAAGTGGGAGTTCTCTTCTCCCTTTAAAGAAAAGTAGTATTCTTTGATGGCCACTTCTTTCCACTGGGGTCTCAGAGGTCCTTCATGTAGAACATTTTTTGCCACAGTGTTTTGACTTTCCATGCCTGAAATGCTCTCATGGGCTTTTCAGCCAGACCAGGAAGCCTTAAGGGCTGATTCTTATGTTAGGGTGTTACTTAAAGTGATTGTCATTCTATGAGTCTACTGTGTGGACTGCTTCCTACATTGGAACATTCTCCCCTTTTTAATTCTATTATTATTACAAACACTTGATCCTATTTATATGATCACTTCAACACTTAATTATATCTACATGTTCACTTTAACACTTAATATAATCACTTTAACACTTAAAAAGATGGCATTTTTACCATCCAGCTTAATGGGATTTGGGGTTCCATGACAAGTTTTTAAACTGTACCCTTAGAAGTAAGTCTATAGGAATGTATGCAGAACTATACAGCTTTACAGTTACAAACTTCCTCCTCCCTCTCTTATTCCCACTCTTATTTTTTACTGAGATGGAAGGATGCTTTCAAGAGATGTGTACTGGACAGAGCAATTGGGTTTCCAGACTTAACCAGTAACAATTTAAAAATATAATCCTTGCCTAAACTTTTAAGTTTAATTTATGAATATTAATCTATTTTTAAGTCTAATAAATTTTTAAAATTTTATGTAAGGTATACAAATTTCATTTATTTCATATGTACAGTCTATTAATTTTAACACCCAATTTTAAGGAAACTTTATTGTTTTTAAAGACTTATTTATTTACTTATTTGAGAAGCAGATTTACAGTCAGAAAGAGGGAGAGATATAAAGAGCAGTCTTCCATCTGATGGTTCACTCCCCAAATGGCTGCAATGGCTGG